ATATATATGTATATGTATACGCTTTTTGCTGAATTATTTGAGAGTGAATTTTAGACATGCTGTCCTTGCATCTGGAGAGACTGGAGGAGACCAGTCAGAGCTCTGAATTCGAAAGGGTGAGCAGAGGCATGGAAAGTGGGCAAGAGCCAAGGGAAGTGACCAGTTTCCTGAAGCTGGAGAGGCCAGAGTTGGGTCCTGAACTGCAGAGGGAGAGAACCACAGCTCCTTGATTCATGGATGCCCTGTTGGCCTCTGGAATGAGGCGTTTACACTGCTAGGTTTGGGCCTGTTTGGGCTGGTGAGCTCACAGCCTGTCCCTTTGCAGGGCCTTGGTGAAGTGGGCCAGGTGACTGATGGGAAAGGAAGCCAGTAGGGGAGGGCCAATCCCTCTTTTACCTGAAGGCTTAGGGAGTTTGGAGATGAGCTTATCCCACTAATCATAGACCCCTGATACTGTGTTGCAGATGTCGCTCCTCCCCCGAGCATGGCTGGGCCAGCCAGTGAGACCCCTTCCAGCCAGATGGCAACAGCAACATACCCTACAGGTGAGCATCAGGGCCTGCCTGAGTCTCACCCCAGGCCAAGCCCGAGCATGTGCAACACCCGAGATGGGCTTGTAGAATGTGGAAGTCCTGCTCACGCACGGTTCAGAGGCTCCAGTCAGTGGGTGGCTGGCCCAGTCATGGGAGGTTGAGGCACACCTCTCACCTCATGACTGGGAATCTAATGAGAAGGGAAGAAACAGGAGTCCTGCAATCTCCCTTCATCCCCCAATGACTTAACGCCTCCCGGGCAGCTTTCCTGCTTTGTATTGTTCTAGTTTTTAATATTTTATTTATTATTTTATGGGTATGAGTATATTGCCTGTATGTATGTGAGTGCACCCGTGTCGTGTAATGCCTGTGCAGGTCAGAAGAGGGCATCGGATCCCCTGGAACTGGAGTTATAGATGGTTTTTAGCTGCCACTGGGTGCTGAGAATTGAACCAGGGTCCTCTGCAAGAGCAGCCAGTACTCTTAACTTCTGAGCCATCTCTCCAGCTTGTTTTAATTTTTTAAGATAGTCTCCCTCAAACTCAAGACAATCTTCCTGCCTCAGCCTCCCGAGTGTTGGGATTACAGGTATGAGCTACCACACCCACAAACCTTCAACACACAGGCCTTTGGGGTCACTCCAGGACACATGACAGGCAGGTAGGGAACATCCTGAGAGCTGACAGTATCCACCCAGGGCTTTTCCCCTGGACCTTGGGGCATCCCACTTTAACATCACCTGGAGCAGACTAAATACAGGCATCTAGGAACAGAGGTCCAGCTTCAGGGTGCTGAGGGAAGGCCTCAGACTTGGAGTGTCTCTACACTCAAGCCAGAAGGGTCAGCCTGAGCTCTTCCCTGTGGTTAAGGCAAAAAGAGAAGAGACTGTGTCCTGAGACAGACACCACAGGGAGGGGCTTCGAGGATCCCAGCACCTATTGAGGACTGTTGAGGAGCACTGCCGGGGAGCACTGCCCACAGGGCGAGGGTGAAGAAGCTCCCTTCACCCTTGGAGCACTGCTGTTGACCTCAGCTGTGGAGAATCTGAGCACTCAGCTCTGTGACTGGACTCTCACATTTGCTGTGATACCCACTGTTCTAATCTGCTTCTGCTGCTATAATAAAACACTGACCAAGAGCAACTTAGAGGAGGAAGGGGTTTATTTCCTCTCACAGGTTACAGTCCTCACTGAGGGAAAGCAAGGCAGGAACTAAAGCAGAGACCAGGGAGGGGTGCTGCTTACTGGCTTGCTCAGCCAGCTTTCTTCTACAGCCCAGGCCCATCAGCCTAGGGAGGGCACCCCGCCCCCAACCCCATACACACATACACACACACACACACACACACACACACACGCACACGCACACACGCGCACCCGCACACACACACACACACACACACACACACACACACACACACACACACACACAGTAGGCTGGGCCTCCCACATCGATTAGCAATCAAGAAAATGCCCAAAGACATGCCCACAGGCCAATCAGATCGCCCAACTGAGACTCCCTCACAAAACTCTGGGCTGTGTCCAGTTGACAGAGGAAGCTCACTAGGAGACCCATCTTCCTTGGACTCTTCTTTGGGGTGGTCAGTGCTCCCTGTGGTCACTTGGATAACCATGACCCTCTGGACAACTACATGGACTATTATGGGATTGAAAATGCAGAGCTCACCCTTAAAGAGAGGGCTTCAAGAGCTATCGTAGCTCAGGACCCTTTGAAATGCTAAATAGGGATTAGGGTCAGGGTGAGAGGGGGCTCCAGATTCTAGAAGAACCTTCCACAGTGCTCAAACTCTCCCACATGGGGTGGGGATGTTGACTCCAGTATCCCCGGGCCAGAAGATGTTCCATCAGGTGGTCCAGGCTCATCCTAGGGGTATGGGAACCAGCCTCTCCTTCCCTTCCCTCCCTTTCTACTCTCTTTCCTCCCATGGGCCTCCTCCATGAAGGGAGCAGCCCCTGAAAAGGTTGTAACCAGTGGCTGGCCAATTGTACCTTGACTTTGAGGATCAGGAGGTCAATTTTCTCTGCATTTCCAACCAGTGGGACAGAGAAGCTGGTTACCCCAGAAACCTGAATTTCAGGACAAGAACCAGACTCGGGGGCAACTTCAGGAGAGAGGCCTCTCTGGGGCTGGGAGCTGGGTAGGGCAGCAGCCAGCAGGACCTGGTCTAGAAGAGGCCCCAGGACAGGGCTAAGAACACCTTGATGTCTCGAGGCAGAAGAGGAGATCAAGCAGGATCAGCGGCTTGAACTGTACTGCATGGGAAGGGACATGACTTTATTCTTTTGGGGTAGAGAGCATTGTGGCTTCACTGACCACAGGGGCAACTTATATTAAAATTTATTGGAATTAGAATGATGTTGGCTGTGGGTTTGTTGTATATAGATTTAATTATTTTGAGGTATGTTCCCTCCAGTCCAATTCCCTTTAGAACTTTTATCATGAATGCATGCTAAATTTTGTCAGAAGCCTTCTCTGCATCT